TTGGGCAGGCGAAGGCAGCAGAGGATCTAGTGTCCTGAGGGAAAAGTCCACTTGTACTATTTGTCCAGACATATCTAAGTGAGGTGATAATTAACTTGTCATTAACAGTGTCCCAGATGTATAGAAATTGGTGATACAAACAATATAATTCAACTAAGTTTTAATTAAATGTGCTTTCATATAATAAAATACTTTTATTTAATTTAGGAGGAAATTCTAATGCACCTATGGAGGTACCCATCTCTCTCTATTCACGGGATTGAGGGTGCGTTTGATGAGCCTGGAGCTAAAACAGTCATACCTGGCCGAGTTATAGGAAAGTTTTCAATCCGTCTAGTCCCTCACATGAATACGTCTGTGGTGGAAAAGCAGGTAACAGACGTGCATTGCTCCTCTGCCCAGCAGCACCATTCCTGAGCACCATGTGCCACGTGCCAGAGAGCAGTTCAGCTGTTCGCACTGCCATATCATTTTTTTTCCAATACAAAAGGGACTGGAACAAATGTCAAGAAACCAATATAACTTTTGTTCGGTAAAAATATCTCCTCAATTATATGCAATTACAGTCATCAGATAAATAACCATTTGGAGTTGGAGTGATGGGAAATTTTTGATAATTAAATGGTGGATATAAAGGCAAGATTGGTTTTACACACAGATGGAGAAGCTAACTGCCTATGGCTGGACTGAGTCAGAAAATCCCCAGCCCCCATCATTAGTTTGTCCATGAAGTCTGAAATCAACACCCTGAAAGCAGCCATTTTAGTGAAAACGTTCGTATCTGGAAGGAGTTGTACATCTAATGTATCAACCTATCATCAGTTTCCCTCAAGTTTAACAGAAAGTAGACTCAGAATAAGTGGGCTCAAGACATACCTCCTCCCACCCTCTCCGTCCGTGGTCCTCTTTTATTGTCTTAGCACTAATCACATTCTAGAAGGCCCTCCCTCCTCTCTCCATCCCTCCGTTTTTTTCTTTCCATCTTTCCTCCCTCCCTCCCTTTCTGGATAGACTGTTCCTCTTTCTCACAGCCTACACTTTCCCCAAGCGCAGGACCTTCTTCATCTTGCTCACAGCTATGTCCCAGAACCTAGAACAGTTCCTGCCACATGACATGTGTACAATAAATGTTTGTTGAAGGAATGAATGGAAGGACTATTTCAGAGTATGGAGTTTTTCTCGAGACAATTTCCACAGTAGCAACTGGAATGGAGCCCAGGGGAAGGAGGACACTGACAACGAGCTTCCTTCACAGCAATTGCTCCCACTTGTCAGAAATTTCCAAATGCATAATGTTCCCAAAATATTCATTAAGGTGCTGATAAGTCCAAAGAGAGGGATATTGAGATTGAGAAGTTTTACTTGCATTGTGTTTCATAATTACTTCACAACATTCATCATATTCATATTACTCAGAATATCATTCAAGGTTTCAGAATTACCCAAATTCATAATAACCCAACATTAACAGTCAGACATTGTGATCAGGATGGGGTGGGGGCTGGACTGAGGATTGGAAGGTCTAGGGAGAGGAGGGGAGTGACAGCAAGTGTTTCTCCCACTGGGTGAAGCTCTCAGTCCTGGAGACTGCTCACTCCTTATCCTCTCTCTGGAAGAATTAAGGTAAAATCAGAATGCTTGAATGTGTCAGGTTGGAATTTCAATCAGTTTCTTGATAAAAGGCTCGAATATATTCATTGTATGAGAGAGTAACTTGAAATTTTCTCTTACAACTGAAAATGTTACCTTTTAGGTGAAGCAGCATCTTGAATACATATTTTCCAAAAGAAATAGTTCCAACCAGATGGCTGTTTCTATGGCACTAGGACTACACCCATGGATCGCAAATATTAAAGATAATCAGTATCTTGCAGCAAAAAGAGCCATCAAAACAGGTTAGACTTATGCTATTTCAATTGCCAGTTTACACTGGGATCAAGTGGTGGTGGCTGGTGGGGCCGTGGATAAAGCAGACACGTTTAAAACTTTCATATGGACTCTCCTTTTATACACGCTGCATTACTGAGGGTAAACGATGTTGCTGAGGGCTCTTGTTACACACTGTCTCATGAATCCTCCCAACAGCCTTCCCCAGTGTACAAATTAAGGTGTGAAGAGATTAAATAATTTGCTGAAGGGCACCCAGCTAGAAGTGGCAAAGCCAGTGTTCAAATTCACGTTCTGGAGACCTGAATTTGGGGCAAAATGATGGACTTGGAAACCCCCTGACCCTTCTGCTACAAAACTCATGGAAATGATGGCCAACATATAAAAACTTTTAAAAGCGCAGCTGAACTTGCTTGAAAATAAAGGAAATGCTCTGGAGTTAAACATGAAGAAGCTACAATTTAGTGAGTAAGCAAGCTGGCACCGGGCTGCCCTGGGGGGACTTGCTCTTTCCGGTCACAGAGGTCTGGGTTTAATGGCCCCCAGACTTCCTTAGAGCACTAGTTCTCTATCTCTATCAGTACAAGGGACACAGATATCAAAAATGAGAGGACAAGTCCAAGACTTAGAGCCATACTTCCCTACATATTCATCCCCACTGCCCCCAATTGTAGCAGTATTTTATCAGTAAAATTTGGGAGTGAAGAAAAGAGGAAGAAGAGTTAGGAAGGTAAATGGAATGCCGGCTGAAGAGAGATGTGTGATTGAAATGTCAAGTTCAACAGTAAAGAACTGAAATACAGGAAAATGCAGGAGTTCATAAGGCATCTTTTGGTCTATTTGTGTGCTAAACCAGTTCTGCTGACAAAGCACAGTCATGCGTCATGTAACAACTTTTCCTCAACAACGGAGTGCATATACATTGGTGGTCCCATAAGATTAGTACCATAGAACCTAGGTATGTAGTAGGCTATACCACCTAGGTTTGTGTAAGTACACTCTATGATGTTTGCACAACAAGGATCTCACCTAATGATGCATTTCTCAGAACGTATCCCGTTGTTAAGCAATGCATGACTGTACCTTATCTTTATTCACATTCACACCCTGATCTGTGGATACAGAAGACGTGGCATGTTCTCTTTTGTGTCTTCGTTTTATTTTTCATTCCCACTCCATCTCTGGCAACTTGTCCTCTAGCCTAGAAGGTTTGAACTCATCTCTTTCTAGACCCTAGGATATCCATTAAAACTACTTCATGGGATACCTTGAAAGTTGAGTACAAACACTGCAACATTCAGGTGATAGATGAGTACAGCTATTTATTTGTATATTGGTTACAAAAGAAACACCAAACACTGAAGTCCCACTTTCCTAATATTTAATTCATGAAGCGACCATAAAAGTAGGTAGGTACATCTTTTTGTGGTACTCTGGCCAAAAACACATGACCTCTTCTGATCAGGAGAAGACGTCAGACAAACCCAAATTGAGGGATGTTTTACAAAACAACTGATCAGTACTCTTCAGGAGGGTCAAGTTCATGAAAGACAAGAAAAGACTGAGAAACAGTCACAGACAAGAGGAGACTAAGGAGTAATGACAAAATGCAGTGTGGGGTTCTGGATTGGATCCTGGTACAGCAGAAGGGAAAGAGTGAAATTCAAATAAGGTCTGAGTCTAGTTAATAAGAGTATTCCAATGTTAACTTCCTATTCTTGAAAGCTGTACAATAGTTATATAAGATGTTAACATTAGGGAAAGTAGAGCAAGAAATACATGAGAATTCTCTCTGTACGATTTGTGCAACTTTTCTGTAAGTCTAAAATTAGTTTAAAATAAAAATTTTATTTAAAAATATTTTTTAAAAGCAGATAATACTAAATAAGGCAACCACGGTTTTCTTCTTGACTGTATTGACTATTTTAGAATATAAATTGCCTGATATCAAGAAGCTTACTTATCCCAGGCACCAAATTTAATGGTAAAAAAAAAAAGAAGAAGAAAAAGAAGAAAAAAGAAAGATAAAGCAAACACTACATTTGAGGAGATTACTGGGGGTAGTCTTGTCATTATTTTATTCAATGCCTTCTTTTCCTGTGTTTCAGTATTTGGGACAGAGCCAGATATGATCCGGGATGGATCAACCATACCAATTGCCAATATATTCCAGGATGTTATCCAAAAGAGTGTGATGATGCTCCCGCTGGGCGCTGTTGATGATGGAGAACACGCACAGAATGAGAAAATCAACAGGTTAGCGGATTCCTGGGGGAGCACAAACCTCAGGGTCTCCACATCTGTAACTTCTGACATGCTACGTACTTGAGATTGAATTTATATCATCAAATCTTCCTGTTTAAATTGTAGACTTTTCCTGCATCATTTGAATGGAAATAACAGTTTCTCTTTATTTCTTCTTTTGTTAGGTGGAACTACATAGAGGGATCCAAATTATTTGCTGCCTTTTTCCTAGAGATGGCTAAGCTGCATTAACAATGAGAGGAACCTTGCAGCTTAGATCTGACCTACCGACAAATCCCCTCTCCCACACCCATGAACAGGAATAGAATCTAAATATCCAGAGAATTTCAGTCCAGTAAATAATATTTTCCCTCTTTAACATGTCTTTATTACTGGACATTTGGACCAGTAATAAAATATTTGAAAGATACAGACATTGGAAACAGTTTAATGTCCCCGTCGCACGTCTCTCTCAAGTCCCAGCTACCTTCAACAACTTGATTTCCTCAAGTCCTGCTGCAGTAGTCCCTGGACTGGACTCACTCTGCCCTCCCAGCACAGGGACAGTTTTTTGATTGGACTCTCCCCCTGCCATTTGATTGGCGTAATTGCTCCAGTTTGCTTTCTAGGTCCTGAAGTGCTCATGACACATGATCATTCCACCCACTGGCTGTCAGTACACCCTTGTCACCCTGGCTTTCACCACACGTTCCTTTTATCTTATTAATAAAAACTTTGGTCTCCACCACTGACTACCATGATTTCCCTGTGGGTTCATTTTCAGGGGAGTTACTAAAGCATGATACCATATTAACCTCTTGTTTCCCCTTCATTTATTTTTCTTGCTTCTTGAAAAGTTCTGAAACGGAAATGATCAATATTCATATCCTTATGCCATTTGGGATTCCTGATGCAAAGATGAGTATTTTTTTATTCCAAGTCTCTTTACCTTTGCTGTGATGGATGCCAACACACCACCCCTCCAGCATCCTGTTCTTTCTTGCTGCCCCATCAGTAAAGGCCCACTCTCTCCCTCCAATATCTGCGCACATGTAAATTTGCCACAGCAGAATCTGTCCTGATAGAATTTCTCTCACCCCGTTGGAATTTTACTCAATGACTACATCTAAATTGCTCAAAGCTTTTAATAGCATCAGTTTTAGATAGAGAACTAATCAACCCTGACATCAGTAACACATTCTAAATTTAAAGCCATCAGCTCAGGCTGCATTCATTAATCATTCTAGTTAACCATCTTGTTTGGCTTGATTGGATTCGATGGTGTAAACAAATAATCAAAAGAATGTAATTTTCTTACAGTTGAGTGTCTGTAAACAAATCAATCTGTATGAATTCACTATTTAAATAACATTAATGGAGAAGAAGTTAAGGGTTTATTAAAAATGTTTCTCTTATGATTCCAAATAAAAACAAAGTGTAACACATTCCATCTCTTTGTGCGTTCTTGAAATGTCGGTTTTAAAACTTGCTGCACCACATCTAAAATGGCCTGACCCTGGGGCCGGCTTATCCCGACTCTTGTCACAGAAATGGGACCCACCTGAGGCCTCAGCCTCCCTGAGGCATCCGTAAGGATTCACTTCTTCTCTGATGCTGGAGAGCCTCAAGTCCTGTTTGTTGAATATTGGCGGGTGTTTGGTATTCTTTGCTATTTAAACATAGTCCGTGCTCGCCAGATTACATTGAATCTTGTGAGGTTTCAGATTCCACGGGACCTACCTGATGTATTTGGCAGAGTACCCAAGGACTAACTGTGCGAGAGGTTTATGATGCCAATCTCTATTTGAAAAATGGTGTTCATATTAGTCAATTAACAAAAGCTGGTTGTAAAATATATTGTAACAATTTCTGAGCAATGGAACATCAGTTTTACCAAGTCACTCAACAATAAGATGTATTTGTTGATCTTCGTTTCTGCAGAATCTCTGAGACCTGTAGTGTCTCAGTTAATTAATCAGCTGCCACCAGGCAAGAAGGGTAGGAGGACGAATGAGGTCGTTGAAACTAGGAGATTCCAACCCCGGGATGCCTGAGGCCAGAGCTGCTGTTTTCTACTTCTCAGGGTCATGAAGGGTCTCCCCAGCTCTCATTGGTGGGTCTGAATTTTCCACCCAGCCCTGAGCCATGTGGCTACCTGGGTCCTGCTGTGATTCGGGGGCCAGATAGGAAGTACTTTCCAGGTTGGTTACATTCAGAGGGATGCGAGAAACCTACCCAGTTATTAGCCAGGAGACCAATTAACCAGTGAGATTAGAGATAGAGAAATTTAAGTATTTGCTTTAAAAAATTTTATCAAACAAATACACGCACATGGATAACATGACCACCCAGTATACTTGGGGGTACATTGTGACACATCCATCAGGAGGGGACTTCACTGTATTGAAGGAGGGCAACATATCAGGTGTGGGGTTATGACTGTCAATTGGATTTGGTAGATGCTCTCATGGAAGATTATGAGGACTGGGAATGTTTTTGGTTTTATGTTGTATTCATAAAAATAAACCTTGGTGGCCGGCCCAGTGGTTAAGTTCCCACTTTGGCGGCCCGGGGTTTGCAGGTTTGGATCCCAGATGTGGACCTACGCACCGCTCATCAAGCCATGTTGAGGTGGCATCCCACATAGAGCAACTAGAAGGATGCACAACTATGACATACGACCATCTACTAGGGTAATGGGGAGAAAAATGGAAAAAAAAGGAGGAAGACTGGCAACAGATGTTAGCTCAGGGCCAATCTTCCACAGTAAATAAATAAATAAAATAAACCTTATGTGAGTGCTTGCTGGACAGTGAGAGCTCTGCGGTGACACACGTTTTCTGCACTTGCAGCTGGAGGAGGGCAGTGGGCCATAGACACACAGAGAACCTGCTCTGGGCTTCTTCTCACTTCACTGGCTCATTCCAGTGCATCCCTCCCTCGGCCTCTGTGTTAGCCAGACAGCAGCCCAGCCCCTCTTCTGAGAATCGGACCCCCGATCCTCCCGCATATTTCATATCTGAAACTCAACTCGTCCAAAATGGAAACTTTCATCCATCCTCTCAAACGTGTTTCACCTCAGGTGTTCCCTGCCTTGGTAAATGGATCATTGGAATCCTGAATCTTCTTTGACACTTCCCTCTCTTTCAAATTCAATTCAATAGCAAGACCAGTCAACTCCATTACTCAAAAGCCACCACTTCCTTCCATTTCCACTGTCCCCACCCATAGCCTGTAAGCCAAATCCTCTATAACTTTTACTGGGTTATTGCAAAAGCTCCTACCTTGTCTCTGCTTACATGGCAGCCCTCCCCAATGTATGTGTCACACTGCAGCCTGCATGTCCCGTTTCTCCTGCTTAAAATCCTACAGCAGCCGTACGGTCTTAGGATGAAGTCCAACATCACAATAGGGTCTACAAGTCCGGCCCACTCTCAGCTCTGCTTGCTCCTCTGGCCTCACTACGTATGTCCCAACAACCCCATCCTTCTAAGCTTCTGGTTTCTCAAACAGAGATCTCGCCTGCCCCAGAGGCTTCTCTGAGTCCCTCCCCATCCCTGGAACACTACCTGCCCTCTTGGTCTGGCTAGCCTCCCCACCACCCCAGACTCCACGTTATTCTTCAGATCTCAGCTTAGTTGTACTTTTTCAGGAAAGCCTTTTCTGATTACCCCTGAGTGAGTTAGGTGTCCCTTTTCACCAACACAGTCTCCATAGTTAAGTTGTAGTGTTTATTCTAATTGCATGTAAGAACATATTTGTACGAATAAGAAATTGCAAGCTCCCCTGCTAGATTATGAATCCCTTGAGTGCAGAGACTATGTCTGTTTTGTTTATTGTGGTGTCTCCAAAGTTCCAGGCATGTTGTATGCTTTCAGGAAACATTTATATGATAAATTAATGGAGACCTCAAGACTTGTGTGATCCATCTCCACGCTGCCATGCATTTCCATAACTTGTGTACATCTATCTCTCCCCTAGTGAACTTTAAGCTCCATAACACCAGATTCCATTTCCAACTAGTCTCTGTATTTCAGGGGCCCAGTTTAGTGCACTGCATACAGTAGGTGCTCAATATTGCTTGCTAAAATCTTCCTTTTGACTCTGCAGCTGCATTTTTGGGGTGTCCCCCGCCAGGCCTGCTGTCCCCTGCCTGGACTTCTATATGCTTCACATCATTCCTAGTCGAAACCACTTTGAGAGCAGCTAGTACTGGGAAAAAGGCACATAGAACAAGTCACGCTGAGGTGCCACTGACTGACAACAGCTCCTGTGGATCCTCCCAGCAGTACTTGTGTCGTCACGGGGGTCATCCCTTAATTCAGAGGCCACAAACCAGCAGCCTATGAGTCTCATAGGCTCCCTTCCCTCTGTTTCACGTGCTCTTCACAACGTCCTAAGCACTTCTGAATGGGATGCCAGCATTTCAAAATCGGCAGACTTCATACAAATGATTTCTCTTGAGCAATTGCAAGATTGGGCAACAGTGATCTGTTCCAGCAGGGTGACGACCCGCTCAGCTGAGAGGCTGTGCTAAGGACAGTGCCTGGCCCATAATATGCGCTCAACAAACTTCTTGGAGGTGGAATAACAAAGAAGTTTCTGAAAGAAGGAGACAACACTCTTTTATTCGGCTTCTCACTTCTACTCACAGCTACTTTCACTTAAAAAACAAGTCCCCTAACAAATACCATTTTATAACAGGGCCAAATGACTTTTAAATACTATACTATTCCAAATATCTAGTTTTAAATGTATTCAGTGTTATCTAGCTATTATTTTTAAATGTTATTTTTCAATTCAAGTTTGAATATTAATTGAACATGTAATAGCTAAAGAATTAAATAATGATTTGAGGTCTTGATTATATAAGATGAAATAAAATATTTGTTTCTGTGATAATGTACCTACGCTTAGCTCTAGCACAGTTATCTATCTATAATACCACTGCCTTTCGTGACAACCAGTACAACTTAAACCAAGGCCTAATACTTGCACATGTGATTTCTGTTCTTCCACCGACCAACCCTGTAACATCTACATTCTATTTTGTAGATCACTTGACAAGTAAGAAAGATAATCTTCCTCTTTACTATGTTGAAAAGAACTTTCCTCTTTAGGAAGCAAGGTCTGGGAGGCAGAGGCTGGGTTGGATAAATTCTATACTTTGCTCAGCTGGCCAAAGGCTCAACAATTGATGCAACACAAAGACAGGAACACAGCGGATTTTCTGAAGCAAAGTGATGTGTTTTTTTTTCCAGCACGATGTGGAGGAGAATGGATGGGAGGTGTAATGACTACAACTTCTTACCAGTCATGTTAAGTAAATAAACGTTTCTGAGCTTTTTCAGTTTGGGTAGATTGAAGAGAAAAAAATTGTTATTACATGGAAAAATTTTATTTAAAAACATTATTCTAGTGTCATTTCTTACCCAAAATGAAAAAAAGTGTCAGAGAAATTATACCTTTGACTATAACAGAAAATATGAAGTTTTAAATCATCTCACCTCCCTCACTGAAATTCATCAAAACAGTATTCCAAGAGAACTTAGATTTAAAATTTTTGTGTAGGTGGTTAAGTGTTCATAGCATATTCTCACTGTTATTGTAGGTAGGCATATGAATGTAATGGCAGAAAATGTTAATTTAAAGGAAATTAGTGCTTTAAATAACACTGTTAAAGTAAATTAGTCATCAAAAATGATTAGTCACCAAAATGACCAACATTTGCATTAAAATTTTAAATAATTATAATCAAATAAAGGAGGCTATCTAAACTTTATTTAAAACCCCACTTGAAGAACCAGAAGGCAGAGTTCATGTCTACTACATCAGTGCAAAGTGAGGGAAGGGAGGTTTTACAAAGGAGAGAGAGTCACAGAGAGGAAGAACCCAATTCTGCATACTCTGCCTAAATCTCTGGATAACCTCTGAACTATGCAGGTGTGAGGCAAATTCAAGTCTCCCAGCTAAGGCAGAGGGAACTGAATGAGATTTCACTTGCTACACTGACAAGAGAGACAAAGTATGGAGTACGAATACAGCCAAAATAACTACCTATTAAAACAATAACAACAACCACCTCTTCAAAGGAACATAACCAAATTCAGAATCTCCACATTATATTACTCAAATGTCTAGGACACAACTCAAAATTACTAGACATTTAATAAAGAGGAAAACATGACTCATAATCAAGAGAAAAGTAATGAGTAACCTCAAGATGATTCATATGATGGAATTAGCAGACAAAATGTTAAAGCAGCTATTATAAATTTGCTCAAAGACATAAAGGAAAATATACCTTTAATAAGTGAACAAATAGAAAATCTCATCAGAGAAATAGAAATTACAAAACAGAATCAAATAGAAATTTTAGAACTAAAAGATACAAAATCTGAAATAAGAAAAAAAATCACTAGCTGCTTTTAACAGGTGATTGGAGATGACAGAAGAAAGAATCAGGGAACAGAGAAGATAGATCAATAGAAATTATCCAATCTGAAGGTCTGAGAGAAAAAAAGAATGAAAACAAAACAAAAAAGGACAGAACCTCAGTAAGCTGTGTATAATATCAAGAGGTATAATATGTATTTAATTGGAGTTCAAGAGAAAAGAGAGAGAATGGGGAAGAAAAATATTTGGAGAAATAATAGTGGCCCCAACTTTTTCAAACTTGGTGAAATACATAAATTTACAGATATTAAAAGCTCAGAAAACCCCAGGCAGAATAAATATGAAGAAAATCATGCTTAGGCTTATCATAATCAAACTGATGAAAGCCTAAAATAAAGAGAAAAATTTGAAAATAGCCAGAGAAAAATGACTAATTACATAGAGGGAAACATAAAAGAGAGGAAATATCGGAACGACCTGTGCTCATCAGAAACGAATGGAAGCCAGAAAACACGGCAAGAAATCATCTTTAACAAACATCTCTTGTGGGCAGCAGATGGGGCTAAGATACTCTTTTTAATCCATTCTGGCAAGCTCTTCCTATTAAATGGAGTATGTAGTCCTTAACATTTAATGAAACTATTAATATAGTTGGATTAAGGTCTCTCACTTTACTATTTGTTTTCTATGCTTCATCTATAACTTTCATCATAACCCCTTTTGGAAATTCTTTAAATTATGTAATAAAATAAAGGAGAACAAGATAAAAAATGAGTGCAAAAATATGAATTGTTGTTAGTGCCATAGAATTGATTCCAACTTCTAGCGACCATATGTATAGCAGAGTGGAATCCTGCCTGATCTTTCTGTGCCATCCTCTCACCTTCTGGAGCTGTGTCAGACAATGCTCTGCTGCTATTCATTGGGTTTTTCATGGCCAACTTTTTTGGAAGTGGCTGGCCAAGTCCTTCTACCTAGTCCGTCTTGGTCTGGAAGCTCCGTTGAAACCTGTCCACCATGGGTGACTGCTGGTATTAGAAATACTGGTGGCATAGATTTCAGCATCACAGTAACATGCAGCCGCCACAGTACGACAACTGGCAGGTGGGTGGTGTGATTCCCTAACCGGGGAATGAACCCAGGCCACGGTGGCGAGAGTGCCAAATCTTAACCACCAGGCCACAATGACTGGCTAAAATATATATATATATATATATGAATAAGGTCTGATCATTATATAAGAGCTTTGTGTCAGTGTTAATTTCTTGATTTTGATAATTACACTGTATTCCTATCTAAGAGACTACCATGTTCTTAGGACACAAACGCTGACATATGTCGGGGTAAAATGGCATCATATTTGCGATCTATTTTCAAATAGTTCAGGAAAAATATGCATAAAACAATAAAGCAACTATGGCAAAATGTTGACAGCTATAGAATCTAGCTAGAGAAGATATGGCAGTTCTTCGTACTTTTCTTTCATTTTTTATTGTAAGTCTGAAATTGTTTCACAATAAAAAATTATAAAGCAAGAATATGTCAGAAATTAAATGTTCTCTAAATTCTAGTTGAGCATGAATGATTAGCTTGTAAGAAGAAAAGGAAGTCTACTATTCCTCCATTTTTTTCCTAATTAGGGAAAACACACCACCGCAAAGTCAAAACTGCTTCTGCATCTGTACGATGTTTAGTGTGGGCTATGTGAGAGAGGTGAAAGGGAAACGCAACAGTAGTTAACCTAAGGCAGCACTCTGGAGTTAGGGGACCAATTAGGAGTGAGAGTGTACACTGGAAGGTATTATTCACTGCTCTGGGCCTTGAAGAGAAAATTCTGGCTTGCGTTCCTGCCTAAAGAAGCAACATAACACAGTGCGGTGGTTCCTAAACTTTGCTCCACATTAGAATCACCTGGGGATCTTTAAAAAGTACTGATGCCTGGGTTCCTCTCCTCCTGCCGCCAACTTTCTAATTTAATTGCGAGGGGGTGTGATCTCGGCAGTGGGATTTTAAAAAAGTCCAGCAACTTGGAAACCACTGTGTAGTGGTAAAAGTATGTTGAATGGCTTCCAGTTCAAATCCAGACTCCAGATTTTGCCAGTTGAATAATCTTGGGCAAGATATGTCATCTCTCTGAGGCCTGGTTTCCTTAGCTGTAAAGAAGAAATGAGAACATTTTTATTGCAGGTTGTTGGCAGCAAAAGTGACAATATATGTAAAGCACTTAGAATCGTGCCTAACACATAGTAGACACTCAACAATTATTCGCTTTTGTTATTTTAACATTCTAACATTTCTTCCATTTATAAATGAGAGAGAAGTCTACAAATCATCATTTCTTAAAGAGGAACATTAGGAATCAACTTGTGCTGCTGGGGTACATATGCCACAGTTCCAAATTGGGATTCTCCTTGCTCTTCAGCTGATGTTTCTTGCTAGGAAATATCCAGTTATTGGAAGATGAGGCCTCCTGGCAGTGAGGACAGAGGTCATAATGCCTCCTCGCTTAGTACTATTACGTCTTAAATCTCCATGGAGAATGCTGGATGTCTCATTGTCTCTGCACTTCCTTCTACCACATTGATCGAATATATTAAAATTAGGTAAGAAGAGGGAGCCGGCCTCGTGGCTTAGCAGTTAAGTGAGCGCACTCTGCTGCTGGTGGCCCGGGGTTTGGATCCCGGGCGTGCACCGATGCACCACTTGTCAGGTCATGCTGAGGCGGCATCCCACATACAGCAACTAGAAGGATGTGCAACTATGACATACAACTATCTACTGGGGCTTTGGGGTGCAAAAGGGAAAAAAAGGAAGAGGATTGGCAATAGATGTTAGCTCAGGGCCAGTCTTCCTCAGCAAAAAGAGGAGGATTAGCACGGATGTTAGCTCAGGGCTGATCTTCCTCACACACACAATAAATAAATAAATAAAATAAAATAAAATTAGGTAAGAAGAAATCAATCATATTCTGTTTTGATTCTTACTTAAGCTATTGGCTTCCTACCCACCATCTCTTTTCCCCTTTCTTCCTAATTCTTATTTTGTTCATGTATCCACCCCTTTCCCACTCAGCCAAGTGGTACAGGGAAAGCTGACAACTCACCAAGATCCAGGAAGGCCCTAGAGGTCTAAAGGCTTAGGATGGGCATGTGAGCCAATTCTGGCGGTGAGTTGTGGTTTCATTTTGCTGCTGGGGGCTTTTGGGAAAACTTTATTCTCTCCTAAGGAAAAAAATCTTAGGAAATGAGCTCTCTTTTCTTCTTGGGACATTTTTTCTGTCCAGACGTGATGACTGGAATCACTTTACCCTGAAGTTGAATCTCCCATTCAGAATCGAAGAGCAGAGAGATGAAAAAAGTCTAGGTTCTTGGTACCAACATTCAGCTACTGAATCAATCAGTGAAGGCTCCTCTACCTCCTCCAAGTTTTGTGAGCCTATAAACTTTTTCATGGATTAAGTGAGTGGTGGTTTATATGTATCATCTGTGCTAAAAGCCTCCCACACAAATGCTTTGTGTGTGTGTGTGTGTTATACTGCAACTGTTTCACCATTTTACCATTTTCAAAGCAGTGATACATTTTCAATTTGTATAACTTTCTACAGTTTAGTTTTTTTTACATTAGTGATCTTGTTATTTACAAAGTCTTTGAAGTAGATATTATCACAATTTACCATTCCCATTTTACTGATAAGAAAACTGAGGTTCAGAAAGTTTAGGTAACACAATAGCAGTAAATGATGGAACAACAAACTGTTTATTTGATTCACAGTCTGGTGGTTTTTTTCTGTAGAGAGTCATTAATGCCCTTCACCAGATGTTTCGATTTCTCGCCGGCACAGGCCAGGATGAACTTCTCACCCCTCTGAAGTTAGGTGTGGCCATGTGAGTTGCCTCGGCCAATGAAACGTGAACAGATGAGAAGTTTTTTACTTCTGTGCTGAAGCTTTCAGAACTAGCACGAGATTGTGTCCTTTCTCCCTCTGACCTAGAAAGTGGAGGTTCCACGAGCCTGGGTCCCGCAAAGGGGAGTAGGGGAGTGTAGTGTCCAGCAATATTGTGATGGACTTGAGGAGGGAATAAGAATAAACGTTTGCTGTTGTAAACCACTGAGATCTGGGATGGTTGTTAGCACAGCATACGTAGCTTAGTCTTTCCTGACTGGTGCATTCACAGAGTTAAAGAGGCTGTACCACTTCGTTTTTAAATCACAAGAGTTTAATTCCGTTCCTGTTAGATACCTCCATTCTAAATTTTTCTCTTAGCGAGTTTTGTCAATTTTATGCAGGAATAGCAAATTAATGAGCTAATTAGACACAAAACATATAGTTCCCATTAAAACAGGTTTTATATTTAGGCTAACTAAACTGTAACTCCTGACAGTCCTCTTTGATATGAGACAAAGACTTATATCCAATGTTTGTCAACATTCTCTGTGTTCGAAAATGCTGCTTTGATGTGGAGAAGATGATGATGGGGTGAAGTTCTAGCACCTTGTCTGTGCAGCGTCTCCCTCCGCCCAGCGAGCCTCTTTACTGGGACTACATCCAGGCCACAGGGCCAGACTAGCAGGAGCAGTGTGTGTGTGTGAGAATAAGTTTGGGATGTCAGAGAGAGGGAAATAGTAACCAAAGTCACCGAGTATAGGCAGAACTACAGAACGTGACATCACTTCTTTGAGCTTCATTTCTCTCATCTGTAAAATGGAAATAATATCCCTATTTAGAGAGGTTATAAGGTTTGCAGCATAATGCCTGGCATTTATAGAACAGTTGGTATATTTTAATTTCTTTTGTACAGTCTCCTTTTAATTTTTAACCTGCTATTATAAAAGTGTTTACTATTCACTATCTAATGGAAATCACATATACCTAGAAAAAGATGTAAATCTATCAACTGCTTTATTTCCTCAAATGTGACGAGCATACGTTTTTTTACTCAGGAAGTTTGAAAACCTCTGCTCTGCGTTTTTCCTTTGCTTAGACTGCAGCTGTGGTAGCTTTGGTAATAATACTTCTGTATCATTTAAGTTGCTTCATGGGGCAAAGAAAACTGACTTAAACAATAAAAGGACTTGTTCCTGTCTAACGCAAGTGGCAAGTTCCAAGCAGGGCTGGCTTTGCCTGAGGCTTAAACCAGGCTGACTATCACCAGGAGCTCTATGCCTTCGCCAGGCGTCTGTGTAGCTATTCACATCAAACACGACTCAGTTGGAGGAAACCTTGCTCTGAATTTGCCCCTTAGAATCAAAAAATTAGTCCTTAATCAGACGAATGGAGGCTTCCAACTGGAAATGAGGGGTATTTGGGTTGTCGGCGAGACAGCACCCTTATTTTTTGTGTGTGTGTGTGTGAGGAAGATCAGCCCTGAGCTAACATCCATGCTAATCCTCCTCTTTTTGCTGAGGAAGACCAGCTCTGAGCTAACATCTATTGCCAATCCTCCTCCTGTTTTTTCCCCCAAAGCCCCAGTAGGTAGTTGTATGTCATAGTTGCACATCCTTTTAGTTGCTGTATGTGGGACGCGGCCCCAGCATGGCCAGAGAAGCGGTGCATCGGTGCGCGCTGGGATCCAAACCCGGGCCGCCAGTAGCGGAGCGTGCGAACTTAACCGCTAAGCCACGGGGTCGGCTGAGACAGCACCCTTATATAATTGACAGCTGAGTTGGCCCTGCTGCTTGAACAGTAATGACTGTTCCATTATTCTATTTACTTTTGTTAAACATGAGCAGATTAAAACTAGACACAATGAAGGCAATAACATATCAATTTGTATTAGGAAATTCGAGATCATTATAATGCTTGAGTACACTTTTTTATGATAGAAATATTATGATAAATTCTGAAAATCTAAATGGTTTAAACCTTCCACCTACTGTGTGCCATTGTCCTCATTTTTCTTTAAAATTCCATTAGGTTCCTCTGCCCCAAAGGTAAGTAACACATATTCATTGGCTACTTCTCCCTTACTGGAATTGTCAATGGGCAGGGCCACTGCTGAAAAGAAAGCACCAAAGAGTGGGAGAGGCCATGAGTAATACACATGCGGAGTACACCCCAATAAATCCACACACTTGAATGGACAGTATTTGAATTTCAAAACTATGCAATTTTTTTTAGATTAATTTGTGGCAGAGAAAGAACTATAACCTAGATGTTCTTATCCTGTGGCACAGAGGGATTTGAAGATAATCCTCAAATCAGTGGTGCCCCCCCCACCCCCTTGCTAATGCTCCAACTCTGGTTCAGGAGTGCTGTGGAAACATTTACGAGGACAGATTATTGCATGTAAAAATATAATGTAAAAAGTAATTCACATTAATCAGAAAAAAATCCTCATCTGTTGGAGCAGCCTAAGATAGCGGGGAAATGCATTAGCTAAAAGCGTAAGGATAGTGATTTGAGAAAACTTGTCTACAATATTAAGAAACATTAGTTTCATCGAGAGTAGAGTTTGAAGACAAGGGGTTGGGAAGCTCCATTTCAGAGAAAAGTGATGGGAATGGGAGCTCCAACACTGGCAGAGGGTCCACTGCTCTACCCAATCAACGGAAGGGATAAAATCTCTGAGCAAACTCACCTATGGGCTCCATGACTTTCCCAGAAACACTCTATAACTGGCTCGTCTGCATCTCAGCCCAAAAAAGCTGCTTGGTCGCCCACCCTGGGGTCTCCATCCCTCCAAATGCTAGACAAGAGTTAGATGTGTCAGTCTACTCTGGTTTTAGAGCAACCTTGTAAAAATAAATTAAAATTTTGTCCTGTGGTTACATAAAGGTGTGGGGAGAAATAATTCTTAGAGAAGTCCCAAGGTTATATATATGTACAAATTATATATAAATTATATAAATAAATAACCTTGGGGCTTCTTTATATATAAATTTTCCTAATGAGACACACAAAAAAATTTTTTTCCTATCTTCTTGGGTTTTTCTAGAGCATTGCATGACACATATTAAGTGCTAAATAAACCACAGCTATCATCGTTAGTATTATCTAATGGAACAAAGTCCTTCAATGAGAGTAACAGTATTAGACACCATTACTATGATATAGTATTTTACAACCTCTTCTATGAATAGAAGTTCAAAAGAAAAGAACTCCTAAATGACACATTTTATGTATGAGGAAAATGAGGTCAAATTGACTTCCTTAACCTCACATTATGATGTAAAGGTGCTGTTTCAGGAAACCAATGGATGATGGAACTGAAAAAATGAACTAAGATTTTTTATTTCACTGCTCAAAGAAGGAAGATGAGATGTAAACTAAATGCCCAAGGTAAGAAAGGTAGCAAGATCAACCACCCAAGACCCCCAGAACACCTAATCCTGACGGAGGACTGCGCTAGCTGCTGCTGTTGTCAAGAAATTGATCACCTTGTCATACGAGACTAGCACTGTTGATATAGATACTGAAAGATTGTGTTAAAAAGTACTACATTTTCAAGTAAATTCTAAGTAAATTTCAAGCGAACTCTTTGATGACAGAATCTAGTTTTACTCATCTTTTACTCAACCAGGCACCAGTAAATGTTGGTCAATGGAATAAATCTAACACTGACAGGCTGGCCACCTGTTCTGAGGAAACTGTTTTCCATGTGCTTCTCTAGAACTTCTAATTAACTATTACTAAACTGAGTCACCATAGCCGACTGGAAAAGGTTGACTCTGAAGTTTAAAGCCGAGTTCCCCCTTTACTAGCTGTGTGATCTTGGAATGGTTATTTGACTCTTCTCAACTGCAATTTCCTACTGTGGATGACAGACATAAGAATTCATATGGATTACAATGAGAATTCGACCAGATAACGTCTATGTAAAGTATTGTATAAAACAGTATTAAAAATGGTATCACCTGAATATTCTGATTTTTTAAAATAGAATTGAGCTGGAATTGGCCTTAAGAGATGATCTGGTTTAGAAAGCCTATTATTATTATTATAAGGCCACAGTTTTTAAATCCTACTTTATCTTTCTAAATACAAATCTGATTATTTAAGATTTCCCTATGCCTAAAGATAACGTCAAAACTCCCCGGCAAGTCCTATCTTCACAGTCTGACCCCAAGTGGGATACCGCTGCCCATCTGTATACACATTGTCTTTGTCATTGCACTTTTCAAGTGGTGGTCTTCCTTCCCAGATTGCGAGTTTTCAAACATAGGGTTCTGAACTTGGGGTCCGCGGATGCGCCCGTGTAAGAGGCGGGAGAGACTGTGACTGCTGTGCCCCGGTCACGCCTTACTTTCTTCCTAAGAAGCCTTGTGCTGTGCCGTTAACGTTTATGAAAACAGTCCGTGCGGGAACGTTAAACACACCCAAGGCGTTTTCAGCCTTAGCTGACCAACAACTCCATTCAGCTTCTTCGCCTCCCCTTAGTATCAGAATTCGGCTCCTGGCTTCCTAGGGCCTGCGACTCCGAGGACCCCTGCTAGCAGTATCCAGAAGTCTTGCTCGTAACCCGGAGGCGCGCACGCGCCTGGCACAGCAGGAAAACCTCGCCCCGCTAGAGGAGGCCTCAGAGGCGCCGGGCACCACTCGGGCCGGGGGAGGCCGAGGCCGGCGGCCGCCCAGCAGGCCTCCGGCTCCCGCGCCGCCCTCGGGGTTCTTTATGGCGGGCGGGCGGGCGAGAGGGTGGGGTAAGGAGGGATGGCGACGGAGCAGGCGGATCGGACAGGGGTACCCGCTCGGGGAGCCTCGGGAAGCGCCAGGTGGCCCTCCCGGTAGGACACCGCCAGCCTCCCAGCCTGACGCGCGTCTCCCCTTCGTTGGATTGACTCGTTCGGCTTCCCGTTTTCCTCTCGGGGAGGGGTGGGACTTCCGGTTTAATGTCCGAGTGACTTCTGCCAACAGCTGATGGACTAAAAACAAGACGGCATACGGGTCCGCCGGCCATTCGGGGCAAAGAAGGGGAACTCTACGTGGGTTTTACTAAACCAGTTCCGTGATGCTGTTTTTCGGTCGTGGGGTCCGGTGCTCGGTCCGCGACGGAGTCGTCCTGGCAGCCGCCGGAAGTTGCTCAAAGGAGAGACAGGAAGTCCCTCCCCTTCCTCCCAGAGGGAAGACGGTGAGCCGGAGGAGTCAGTCAGAGGGGCGAGCAGGAGCGATTCCGTCGGCAAACAGGTAAGTTATTCTCTGCCCGGGGCGGGGGGTTTGGAGGCGGGGACCGTCCAGCGTCAGCGCGGGGCCTGGGGGCGGTGGCTTGAGGGCTCGGGCCCGGGCGGCTGGGCGCCGGCAGCCCCGCCAGGGCCCTTCGCTCTTCCTCCTCCCCCCT